GGCGACGGCAACGACGACGTCGACGACGACGACGACGACGACGACGGCGGCGGCGGCCGCGGCGAAGACGACGACGACGACGACGACGACGGCGGTGACGACGACAGCGACGACGGCGGCGGTGGCGGCGACGACAACGGCGACGACGACGGCGACGGCGACGGCGACGACGACTGCGACGGTGACGGCGACGGCGATGGTGATGGCGTCAACGACGACGACGATGACGGCGGCGGTGGCGGCGACGGCGACGACGTCGACGACGTCGACGACGACGGCGACGGCGACGGCGACGACGATTGCGACGGCGACGGCGAAGGTGAGCGACGACCAGCGAGGGTCGCGACGGCGACGACGACGACGACGACGACGGCGACGACTACGACGATGGCGGCGGCGGCGGCGGCTGCGGCGGCGACGGCGACAGCGATGGTGACGGCGACAGCGACGGCGACGGCGAGGGCGATGGCGACGGCGACGACGACGGCGATGACGGCGACGACAACGGCGACGATGACGACGACGACGACGACGACGACGACGACGGCGGCGGCCGCGGCGACGACGGCGGCGGCGACGGCAAGTGCGACGGCGACCGCGATCGCGTCGGCGACGGTGACGGCGACGGCGACGGCGACGACGCGCACAGGGACCCCCACTCGTGGCGCCGACGCCGGCGCCGTCGTGCAGCGACGCCGACGGCGACGGCGATGGCGACAGCGACGGCCCTCCCTTCCTCCGGCCCCCCCCCCTGGTGCGAACCATGCCCCCCCCCTTTCGCAACTCAGGAGGGGGTGGCCCCCTGGCTCGAACCCCTCCCCCTTGCAGGAAGGAGGCGGGGGGGCCAGGGTTAGGGATACTGGCGTCCAGGGGGAGGGGCTTCCCCCTGTGCTCGATGTGTGTGTGGGGGCGGGGGGGGCGGGCCCCCGATTCCAACGTGTCAAGGTGTTTTTTCCAGGCAAGCGACCACGAAACGCGTTCTCTCCGAGCTCGTACCCCCACCCCCCACCTCCCAAACGTCATTTTGGGGAGGAGAACGGGGAGGGGGAGAGCCAAATGTCTCACACGCCTTTTCATCCCCCGCATGCGGTGGTCGACGGATTTTGATGGCCGATCCGATGTTCCAATTCGATGCTTGGTAATCTTATCCCAGACGCGCGCGTACGTCGCAACACCCAAGCAAGTTCAGAACGACAGCGGGTACAACTTGCAGTAGGCGGGGCCACACGCAGAGCCTTGGCCTGAAGGAAAAGCATCGACGCTGCCAAAAGAAATTGTCTCCCTCCCTCCCAGCGTCGCAGAGGAGCAGGAGGAGGAGGTGGGGAGGAGGAGGAGAGGGAGCGGGCAGGGTAGTTGCCACGAATTGCCTGGCCTGGCGCATGAAAACAGAAAGCGGCGACGCGCTGAATCCCGTAGCGGCCCCAACATGGCTGACATTCGGATCAGATGGGAAGGGGAACGGGAGGGAGGAGGAGGAGGAGGAGGAGGCCCCCGGGAAAGAGGAAGCCGACCTCCAAGGCCCACTTCGATCCGATCGATCCTAGTCGATGTCGATTTCGGCTGTCCCGATCCGATGTGATTCCGATATCGTGGCGATCTGCATCGCGTTATTGTGGATCCTGGCGCAGCCGATCCGATTCGATGCGGACTCCGTGCCGATTCGGCACAATCCAATGCACGTTCCAATCCGATCCGATGTTTACCGCTCCTGCCCCGAAGCGCGTGCTGACAGTCATTGGCCGTTTGGGTCTCGGGGGATATTTGCATGCAGCACGCTTGATTCCTCTTGTAGGCCACGGTTGGCTGCATGAGTTTGCCTACTCATCGCAGGTCAGTTCGCGCGAAATTCCTAGATTTCTCATCAATGTTTTGATTCGCACAGCGGTTGGTACCGAGTCGGATGAAGTCGTGTTGTCGCGTTCCCTCTTCCTCCCCCACCGAAAGAATCTGTGCGCATCCGCCTCTCCTCGTGCTGGCCCCCCACCGCGAGGCCCCGCCCGCTGAGGGCGCGATAGCGGGCACCATTCCAGAGGCACCGGCTATCGCGGACGCCGCTCCAGCGGACGCCGCCCCAGCAGACGCCGCGGCGGCTCCGGCAGACGCCGCACCAGCCAGCGCTGCACCGGACGATGCCACCATGGAGCCGGCAGGCGGTGCCGGCGCGGCGGTTGCCGAGGCTCGGGTGGAGGCGATGATTAATCAGCAGTCGAAGTTCGGCATGAGATGAATTCATCCGCCATCTTCGGCCGCGAGCCCGTGGGGGAGTGTAAAGGGGCGGGCCTTCTCAGAAGGCCCGGAAGTCCCACGGCCTCCTGAGAAGTTTTCTGAGCCTTTCCCGAAGGCGGACAATTTCTCAGAAGGCGCGAGGGCTTCTGAGAAGCCCCGCCGCCTTCGGAGAAGGCCTTCTCCTTCTTACTTCCGCCCCTCGCTCGCCGCCGAAAGATGGGGAGGGCGAGGGGAGCGAGGAGGGGAAGCCGGAGCGGAGGATCAGGGGCACCAATAGAGGGGGACAGGCATAGGGGGTGATGCATCGACACCCAATCGCCCATTCATCGCCGGTAGGGGCCCGATAGCCCCAATTTGTTCAGAAACGTGCGGATTCACTATCGGGGACCTATCGCCGATCTATCGGCGATACATCGCCGATTCCAGATCGTTGTTCACCCCCCTATGCATATCCCCCCCTATCGTTGCCCCTCAGAGGATGGGGATTGCGAGGGGGAGGTTGCAAGCAGGGGAGGAATCGAAGCGGTCGGCTCTCGGTGTGCTGTTCGATGGTAATTGTTACGACCCCCTCTTTGTGGCGCCCTCCGACGATCGCAGCTGCTGTCGGGCAGGCCCGGGAGGAGGAGACGGTTCACGAAGTCTTTATTGGTTCGGCGAATGTTCTTGCCATACGGTAGGTTCATGTCGCGTCGACGCGGTTGCGACCCCAGCGCGGGCGTTCAAGGTTGAAAATCACCCGTGGCCCAGAATCGGCCGACATCGAGCTATCTGCGCAATCAGAAACCCGCGATCGTTCAAGGAGGAATGACCCCCGCGGTGTCAGAGACTAACGCGCAAGTCATCACGACATGCATCTGACGCAAGACCAGGAGACCACAGTGAGGGGAAGAGGAGGATTGAGCCTGCGGCAGGCCTGGGGCAGCCGAACCAACGGAAGGATGAGAAGGTCTTCTTTGAGGAGCGATTCGGTTGCTCTCGTGTGCTGGGATGTCGACCAGGTCCTGGCGCAACGCCCCCCCCGTGCGAAAAGCTTGACAGCGAAGATCCACGGCTCCCTCCGCTCTCCAGTTCTGGCCTCCTCCCCCGCCTCCAGGGGGCTGTAACAGCTTGAGGCGCTGGGCTCCTCGCCCTGGCAGGTGCACACGCAGTCACCCAGCACACGTCAGTGAAATGCTTGTCCTGGTCTACTATCCCCCCCCATCCCCTTCCCCGCCTCCCAACCCCCCTGATGCCTCCCTCCCTCCTCGCCCCTCTGCTCTGCTCGCGATCCCTCCCCCCCTCGTGCACCTGGGGGAAGAAAGCGTTCCCCTCCCCGAGGCCCCCAGCGCGGCCTCCGCCGCAGACGCCCCGGCCGACGCTGCGCCCGCCGCAGCAGTGGAGATCGATGGTGAGGCTGGGCAGCAGGCGGCCTGGTCAGGGGCAGAGGGAGGAGGCGCAGGGGAGAGACGAGGAGGGGGGAGGGGGGAGACGGAGGGAGAGGAGGAGGGGAGAGGAGGAGGGAGAGGAGGGATAGGATGAGAGGGAGAGGATAGGATGAGGAGGGAGAGGAGGAGGGGGGAGACGGAGGGAGAGGAGGAGGGAGGCAGAGGAGCAGGAGCGGATTTTTGGATTGCTTGCTCGTTGAGGCAACTAGCCTGTCGAGTTACGGTGGCGCTGCGGCTAGCGATGCATCTGGCAATGCAGGATCGCACGGGCACCTAAGGATTGCAGTATACAGTAACACAGTACCAGAGCTCCGTACCCAAAACCCAAATAATCCCGCCCACCAATCCGACCCATATATACGAGACGCACCGCGGTCTAAGACACGCAGGAGAGCCGCGTCAGCTGACAGCCGTGGGGCTCGACCCGTACGGCAGGGCGAAAGGCGAACAACAGGCTCGCATGGCATCGACTGAAAATCGTGGTCTGCGCTAGGACTGGGGACTGGGACGGTAAGGCAGGCTGCGCAAAGGGAGACGGCGGTCCTGCGGGCTTTGTGTCGCTTGTTCCCTGCCCAAGAAATCACAAAGCAATAAGCTGCCAAAATGGCATGATCTTGTGCACAAAAGAGTGCGCCCGATGACTATCCGATCCTGCCCAACTACCCGACTGACCCGCCAAGCATCCGTCCCTTCGAAGAGAAAGAGAGGCTGGCAGCATGCAACAAGATAGAGAGGGCATGCTCGCTAGCAAGGCTGGCGAGCCGTCCACTGTACTTCGCGGGCGGGGGGGGCGAAACGGAGCTGCCCCCCAACGGCCAGCCTTGGAGAGGCCGCACCAGCAGGGGGGGGCGCATTCGGTCACAGGGGGAGGACTGCAGTCGCCCCGCACACAAGTGTGCGGGGTCCATGCCCCACAGGCCCTGGCTGCTTGCTTACCAGGGCCACCTGGACCTGACCCACACCCAGGCACGTCGTAGCTGTCTGACTGATCAATCAGCACGAGAGGCAGGCAGGGAGGGTACAATGATGTGCAGGGCGACGAGGGGCGGGGCGGCTGGCGGCGAGAGAGCGAGAGAGCGAACAAAAGGGGCAGGTCGCTTCCTCGCTCGTAATCCCTCCACAACCTCCTCCAAACCTGACCTGATACTCCCCCCAACCTTCTATTGTCGAAAGGTGTCGCTGCCGAGATCCGGCTGCGTCGTCCATAGAAGTGTGCGTGGGCAAGACACGACCTCGGTAAACAGCGTAGAAGTTTCAGCGCCCCATCGAAACTCCCAGGATGGTCCCCACAAGCTGATATTCCAGGGGCCTGGACCTGACTCCGCTGTACCTGCAACATCCATGGCACTAGCCATGGCGGCCTGCTTGAAATCAGTCGCCTCTGACGTACTTGGCAAATCTGGTGGTAGGGGTCAACACCACATAGACAACTTCATCATCGCAGAAACGCATTGTGGCAAGAGAAAGAGCGGCTGGCGGTGAGAGGGCAAAAAAGGGGGGAGGAAGCTCCCTCTCTCGAGACCCCACCTGTCCCATCGTCTAACCTCCACCCATCCTTCTACTTAGCCCAGGATACCGCTGCCGAAATTTGGCTGCAACGTCCATGGAGCTATGCGTGCGGCAAGGCGCGCCGTACGTCTATCTCTGGCCTCAGCGCGTTTGCGTTGAATTATTTCGCGCTGTGCACCCGTGAGCTGCACTGGAGTAGGCAAAGGAGGGGGGCGGAAGCAGGTGCGACATGTGACGGAGACGTTGTGCCTTCTAGAAAGGCAATGGCGTCTGCGTATTCCTGCTATTCGTCTGCTTCAGCAGGCCCTGCCTGCCGAGGAGTGGCGCTGGGGTCATGCACGAGCGACGGCTCGGGCACGTCGGCATCTGGCCTTTCACTTATGAGCTCGGGGGGCGAGAACCTGGAGCTTTCAGGATCGGCGCGCAGGCGTCGCGTCGTAGCTCCTACGAAATCGGGGGCCCAATCCTCGTTCGTGCCTAGATATGGGTCCCAAGCAACGTAAAACGCCTATAGTGCCCCACGGAGTGCCTCTTCCTCCTCCCCCATGTCCTCGGGCCATGCCTGCGGGTCGCTCGTCACACGCATATGATTGACCGCATCCACTATACCGTGGGCCAATACCTGACAAAGCGCGGGGGGGTATGTATTCTTTTTGGCCGTCCGCCATTCCCTCTTTTGACCGTCGAAGCCCATGAGCACTTCGTGGGCGTTCTGTCCGTGTGAGCAACGTCCGCGGCCAGGCGTTTCCAAAAGGCGATCATGCAGCGTACACATCCTCAAAGCCAGTATCCGTGTAGGCGCGCGATCACATTGTCCGTGTTCGCACTGATCGAAGTCGGTTGTAGAGGCCGCAGGTGACGCCATGATCGCGCGCAAGGGTGGGCACAATAATGAATTCACGGCCTCTTGTCGCCACGACGCTGGCACTGGATGCTCCATCCAACAACGATGTGCCTACGGCTAGGTGAACGGCAAAAAGTTCTATCATGGCTCCTAGTAGCTCGTTGTGAGAGCAGGAGCGGAGGGAGGGAGAGGAGGAAGCAGAGGAAGAGGCGGAGGAAGGAGGGGCAGGGGTGGGGGAGGAGGGGGAATGGGGCGGAGCAGCAGCATCGGCAGCAAGAGGAGGAGAAGGGAGAGGAGGAGAAGGAAGCTCCCGGGAAGGAAGGTCCCAAAAAAGGAAGAGGAGGAGAACGAAGAGCAGGAGGAGGAGAAGGAAGCGGAGGAGAAGGAAGAAGAGCAGGATGAGGAGGAGGAGGGAGGAGAAGGAGGAGGAGAAGGAGGAGGAGTGGGGGCGTCCCTAAACGTCCTGTGTCCGACGGTCTCAGTCCTCCTCGGCAAGCCGATTCGTGCGAAGCTAGGAGGAGGAGGAGGAGGAGGAGGAGGAGGAGGAGTCTTACGAGGGAGTGCAACGGCACAGGAGAGGCGGGCCGCGAGAGGTCGCGCACTGTTCTGGTTTGCATAGTTAATCCCTTCGGGCTTCGCCTTCTGGCCCTCCCTACCACCAACCCTGCGTCGCGTCCGTCACTCTGCCCGTGCTCCCTCCACTACAGGGCCCACCCCGATCCGATCGACCGAGCTCGATGTCGATTCTGGCCGGCCCGATGCGATCCGATTCCAGTGATCCGATGCGGCCTGGCGTTTGCATGGTGCCGTGGTGCATCTTGTTGGCGCGGCCGATCCGATTCGATTCCGGTTCCGTGCCGATGCAGCCCGATCCGACGTGTTTTCCGATCCGATCCGATTCATCGATTCGATGTTGACCGTTATTGTCAGTATTTGCGTTGTCCACATGCCTCTCGGGTATTGGCCGATCAGTCGGTGAGGCATCAACGATTCTGAAGCAGCGAGCGCTGGGGCTTTGAGGGTCAGACGTTGACAGACGCCAGACCATTTCTTTGTGTCTTTCCCGTCTGTTATTGAACATACTTCCCTTTGTTATCATCGTTGATTATCTGATCTTCTTGTTAATTTCTGCACCTTTGACCTCCTGACTACTTCGCCTCATTCGCCTTGCCCTCGTGCTCTGCTCCCCATCCATCCTCATACCCCTCCTCCTTTCTGCTTCTCATGTCCCTCCGCATCTTGCTCTTCATGTAGTCCAGCGAGTTTGCGAGCCCATCTGTTGCGAACGCGGTTGTTCCATACATGTATGTCTCACTGCTCCTGATCCTCCTGCTGCGCCTCGTCCTCCCACCTCCATGCCACCTCTCGCAGACGCACTCTGGTCCTGCACCATTTCATGTCTTCTCCTCTTCATTATGATCCTCCCTACCGTCCTTGTCTTCTTGACCTCTTCCTCATCATCATCTATTCTCCACCGACCTGCCGCCGATCTCCCGAGACCAGCACAGCTGGCAAGCGCAGCGCTGACACGGCCGGCGTTGTCGCGGAGCCGGAGGCGAAGAAAGCCAAGACGTGATCAGGCTACCAGGCTGCCAAGTGGGACCAAACACGCCACAGGACGCGTGAGGGAGGAGGCGGAGGAGGCGGAGGAATGGTATGGGAGTGGTTGTGTCCCCAGTTATGATATTCATCTTGTCTGTACTCTGACGGTGTGCCCGTATTTGGCTTGCCTTTGCACCCGTTTATCGTGCAGCGCCCGAGTTAGATTACCGTGCCGCCGCCAAAGTACTTGAGATTGTCATTCTAGCTGAGCCAACGCACGCTGCCTCGGCGGGAGGAAGGAGGGGGACAGCACGGCCTCGCCGCTGCGCCAGTCACGCCCGCAACCCTCCACCGCCGCCCCACGCCCACCAGAGCCACCATCGACATCCAGAGGGCCCCTGAACCCTCGAGAACCTCCTGCAGCACAGTAAAACAGCACCATGTTCCCCTCACCCCTTCCCCCCGCTCTGCTGGCGACGAAGCAGGAGGGAGGCCCACTCCTCGCATCGCGCATCTGGCAGGCCGCGCCCAGCGCCTCCCGAACCATGCCCGCGGAGGGCGGGCCAGACCACCTGAAGGCCACACCACCCACCCCTCCGTGGCTCTGCCTGGGCAGCCGCGGCCCGGCTGGCTCAGCGGCCTGGGGGCCAGGGGCCCGGCACCTTTCCCGCATGCTGGCGGGGCCGCGCCGCGGACCCACACGCCGCTTCGGAGCTCAGTGCGCCGCCACAGTCCACACGGACCGTGGTGCCGCCCGGCGCACTGCCGCCCCAAGGGAGCGCACACGGCCAGAAAAACGCGCGGCATCGTCACGACTTGTGCGGCCATCCCTGGCGCCCGCGCAGAGAGGGAGCGGGCGCGGCCGCCGCCCAACGGCGCCCGCGTGTCCGCTCCTCCCGACGGGAAGCGCGGACGCCAGAGCCAAGCCGGAGGAAAAGGAGGGAGAGGGGTGGTGGAGGAGAGGCGGGTATAGCCAGGACACCCGTTAAGGGGAGCTGGTTGGTACTTGGGCACCGAAGCCCAAAACATCGGCCGGAGTCATGAAACCAGGTTTGCCGAAGGTGTTGTTCGGGCCACAGCAGTTCCGGTTAGCGGAATGGGGCGAGGGGGGCGTCCTCTGGTACACATGACTAAACCATGTCCCACTGAACCCAATCTTGCCATCGCCTGAGAGGGGGAGCAGGAGGAGGAAGAGGAGGCGGGGGAGCAGGAGCAGGATAGGGGAGAGGGGAGGGGGGTCATCATAAAGGCGGGCCTGAGGCAGGTGTGCGTCTGATCGTGGCCTCGCATGTCCGCCGTAGATGCACAGGGGAAGGGCCGCACGACACAGGGCAGCCTCCGTCCTGGGCTAAGACCAGCTTGGATGTAGAGCACGCTAGGATAAGTATGCAAATTAGCGTAATCATTGTAAAGATCCTTCGGGTGCAGGGAGGATGTAAGGAAGCGACGGGGTGCATGACGGCCCAGAAGAGGATAACATACTTCCATCCGCACTGTGTCATAAAAGGAACGAAAGAAACGTCGTCGCTTCGGGTGGCAATTTTATGAGCCAGTTGTTCGTATCCTCCAGGTGCCAGCTTGCGCGCTGCCATATGAGGCTTAGGATCTGGTGCGCGGCTGCTGCGTGCAGGGCGCGTGTGATCGAGTCATGGCTCGCGACCAAAAGAGAGACGCTCGCACCAACATTGCATCATACACGTGTATTGCGAGTCTGATTAATGTCCCATTGCCCATGGAGTTATCTGAAGGTCTGCGCCCTCTGCCGCCAGCCAACCAGTCTGAGCCATCTGGTTGGTTTCCCTCGCCTGGTGGTGTTCGCGTCCAGAGCTCGTAAAGTCTCGGCGTTGCGACCGCGGGCTTCCCCTCCTCCCTCTGCGGCCACGAAACTTGTGAGAGGTGTGCCGAAATGGACGGGGCAGCACGCGGTCACCGCCCCTGCCATCTTCAGGGGAGCCCCCACTCGGGGCCACGGAAGTATGAACGGGTGAGCCAAAATGGGCGGGGTAGCATGCGATCACCGCCCCTAGGGCCTGGAGTGGGGCTCTCCATGGGATGACAATTGGCGGGGAACCGCATGTGGAATTGCCGAATGGGGCATCCGGTGGAGCTCCCAACGAAGCCACGAAGCGTGTGAGAGCAGTGCTGGAGTCGGCGGGGGGCCGCATGTGGCTTTACCCGCCTGGGCCCTCAGTGAGGTTGACTGTGGGGCCTAACATTTGTGAGAGGTGCACCGAATTGGGCGGGGCAGTATGCGGTCACCGCTCCTGCCGTCTTCCGTGGAGCCCCCATACGGGGCCACGAAAAGTATGAGGGGGTGTGGCGCCATGGGCAGGGCAGCATGCGATCACCCTTCCTGGGGCCTAGAGTGGGGCTCTCCATGAGGATGGCGCCACGAAACGCCTGAGGGTTTTTGACAACTGACGCAGGGAACCGCACGTGCATCCAGTGGAGTTCC